TAAAATCAAATGATTGAAAAGTGGAATAATTTAAAAATTATAACAATTATTACATATTTAAAATGAAAACTACAAAAATTGAAGAAACGAAAAATTGAAAAATCGAGAAACTGAAACATCTAAAATTGAAAACTGAAAAATTGCAAATCGAAAAATTGAAAAGTCGAACAAATGAAAAGTTTTAAAATCCAGTAACTGAAAAATGGAAAAATTCTAAAATGGTAAAACTGAAAAAGTGAAAAAATTGTAAAACTATTATTACATATTTAAATATTTAAAAGAGAAAAATCGCAAATCAAATATTGAAAAAGCGAAAAATCAAAAAATTTGTAAGTTGAAAAAAAAGAACCGGAAAACTGCATATCAAAAAAATTTCACATTGAAAAAAGAAAAATTATAAAATGAAAACATTGAAAACCGAAATTTTGAAATAATAAAGAAAATAAAAAACCAAATCGAAAAATTGAAGACATGAACAATTAAAAATTCATAACTCGTGAATCTGCAAATATAAAAATTGAAACATATATAATAGTTAGAAAATTGAAAAATGCAAGAGTGAAAAATCGCAAATCGAAAAATTGAAAAAATTAAAATAGTAAAAACAAAAAAAAAATAACGTTGAAAAATCGAATAACTGAAAAAAAGAAAAATTTATAAAAAAACGAAACGAAAAATTGAAGCAATAAAATTCAAGAAACTCAAACCGAAAAATTGGAAAACTGCAAAATTTTAACTTGGACACTTGAAAAATTGCAAATCAAAAAACCGAAGAAACAAAGGAAAAATTGAAGAATTGAAAAATTCAAGCCTGAAGACTGCGGCAGTGTTTCTTACGCCACTTATTTTTACTTAATAGAGGTTATTAGAAAATAAAAATAAAAAAAAATGTTCATGTTTTCAAAAAAATGGGATTTGTTTTTTATTTATTTTTTAATGATAAGGGTTTATCATAAAATAATAGAATTTTGCAAAATCAATGTTATCATTTTTCAGAAGAAGTGGATTTGTTCGATTGTATGTATCGTATTATGCCTGGTTTTTATTTTGGAATACTTTTTCGTAACCTCTTAACCAGAGAATGATAATATTGTAAGTTTTAACGTCTTCTGAAGCTTCGTGGATGGAGATTACAACCAAATTGATGTAACGTAAAATCTTTCAAACAGTTCTATAGTTTTTCAAAAGTTGGTTCCTATAATAACTTTCCAAAATTTGAGGTCCAAATATTTGTATCTTCATTTTTAAACGAAATCCTTGTAGAAAAGTCCATTATATTCCTGGATCATGTTTTTTATATTTAGAACATCAGAACTTTAGTTTACGTAGAATCTTAAGTGTCTTTTATACTTTTTGAATCTTTCAAACCACTGGAAACTTTGGAATATTTAGAATTTCTAAAATCTAGAATCACTAGAATTTCTATAATCTTTAGAGCTTTCAGATTTTCATTAACCTTCAGTATCTGTAGATTTTTAAATATTTTTAGATATTTAGGATGTTCATAATTTTTTCAATTTTTTAATATGTATTTGGAATCTGAATCTGAATTTTTGAAATTTTTGACATGCTAGTAGAGTTTTTGGCATCCCTGAAAGCCTTAAAACCTTTGAAAGGGTTGGAATATTTGGGACTTTCACAACATTTTGAATCTCCACAAATTCGGTCAGAATTTTAGAATTTCTGTAATTTCTGTCAAGAATTAACATTGTGCATATTTTGCATTTATTCGGCAAAATTGTAAGATGGCGTCATCGATTTTTATCACACTAATTTTGGTTAGAGTTTTACCATCTACACGATATTCCTAATATACATGTAAAGCGACGTTATTTCCGTTTTTCCTTCGTATCTTTAAAAGGGAATAAAACTGGAATTGTTTCTCTGTAAACTCCAAAGAAACAACATTCAATGTTACGATTGTTATTATTCACACTATTTACATTATTACGTGAAATCTGACTTGCTTCGTCACTCAGTGGTGCATGCAATAATTAATCATCGCATTCAGAGATGCAACTTATGACCTAATTCGTATAATTAGATTCAGTAAGGGTGAGGATACTTAAAAATTAACATAAACGACGGAAACAAGAGACCTACGTTTTCGTATTCTAGGGGTCATGAAACGTCAATTTTCGGGAAAACGGAGTGAGCCGTCACGGATTTAATCAAAAAAATAAATGACTCATTCATTAATTTTTATGAATCACCTGTATAAGAAATTTAAAAACCTTTAATGCAATGATAAATCAGAAGTATAAACTCATCGTATTTTGCACATTTTGACGTCATCAATTTGTTGCAAGGGGCTAAACGAATAAATTTTGCTTAACGATTTACCATGATATAACCTTAAAATATTTACAAGGTTTCAGAGCAATCTTCGTCGGGCGAACGGCTACTTTTATGTTTTCACGGCGTTTTGCTTTGATCATGGAATTATGGAGAAACATACTTTTATACCTGTTGGTTATGATTCCGTTTTTGTCTTTTATTTTCCTATTCCGATTTACTGGTAAATTCTGGTAAATTTTGAACGCCGTACTTTATAAACGACGGAGGTAAATTTTCTAGAATATTCTTTATAGGTACTCTTACTGGAATTCAAGTCTTACTTAATTCTTTTCGTAAATGGACATTTTCTGCAGTAATTGTCAAGGAAAAAACTACTTTTTGATTTTACTTTTTTTACTATTCTGTATCGTGGTTCATCAGGGTAACTTTTCTTTTCAACAGTATTCCAGAAATCATCTCGAAAGTTCTAAAAAGCTTGCTCTCTTGAACTGTAAGCGAAATTTAGCGTTTCTTCTTTTTTCTGAGTCAAATTTGTTTCGTCCTTTTTTCAAACCATGTTTTTAAACCACTAGCTCATCTATTCTTCTTTTTTACCCGTTCAAACTTCCCGAGCGCAAGTACATAGGGCCCATGACACGAATGGCTACTTACGTTTTTTCTTGACATTTCAGGACGCCTAGTGTACGAAAAAATAGTTCGTCCGTCTGGGTTAGTACTTACGTAAGATAGTTTGACCTCATTTTGACCTGTCTTAGAACCGGCATCATTTTCTGTCGACGATTTTGACTGGTCTTAGGACCCCCATCTGTACAAAAAAATGTGTGCAATATTTTCCACGTGTTTCATGTAATTGATATGTCACTGGTGCATTTTACGTTTTCTCGACCTTTTATGACCCCTAGAGTACGAAGAAATAGGTCGCCCATTTCCGTTTGTCTGTTCTGTCTGTAAATCCTATCAAAAATGTCCAAAATATGATGAGCCTGTACTTGTGATTTATGATTCCGTTATATTTTTTGGCCTTGCTTATACAGCTGACCCAAAAAAAATTATGAATGCTTGAATTTATTTTAATGATTTAATCCGAATGCTTTGAAATCTTGGAGATGGTTTAAAGTTATAATAAGCATGATAAATTTTTGATCAAAATGTATTTACTAATCTCCTCCCTGCCAAAATTGATGATGTCACCTCAAAAGTTTATCGAATAAATCCTAAATGTGCAAAGTATGGTGAGTCATTACTTGTGATTAATTATAAATCGAGTAAATGAAGTTTTAAAATCAAATGATTGAAAAGTGGAAAAATTTAAAAATTATAACAATTATTACATATTTAAAATGAAAACTACAAAAATTGAAGAAACGAAAAATTGAAAAATCGAGAAACTGAAACATCTAAAATTGAAAACTGAAAAATTGCAAATCGAAAAATTGAAAAGTCGAACAAATGAGAAGTTTTAAAATCCAGTAACTGAAAAATGGAAAAATTCTAAAATGGTAAAACTGAAAAAGTGAATAAATTGTAAAACTATTATTACATATTTAAATATTTAAAATTAAAACGAGAAAAATCGCAAATCAAAAATTGAAAAAACGAAAAATTGCATATTAAAAAAATTTCACATTGAAAAAAGAAAAATTATAAAATGAAAACATTGAAAACCGAAATTTTGAAATAATAAAGAAAATAAAAAACCAAATCGAAGAATTAAAGACATGAAAAATTAAAAATTCATAACTCGTGAATCTGCAAATATAAAAATTGAAACATATACAATAGTTGGAAAATTGAAAAAATTAAAATAGTAAAAACAAAAAAAAATAAAAACGTTGAAAAATCGAATAACTGAAAAAAAGAAAAATGTATAAAAAACGAAACAAAAAATTGAAGCAATAAAATTCAAGAAACTCAAACCGAAAAATTAGAAAACTGAAAAATTTTAACTTGAAAACCTGAAAAATTTTAACTTGAACACTCGAAAAATTGCAAATCAAAAAACTGAAGAAACAAAGGAAAAATTGAAGAATTGAAAAATTCAAGCCTGAAGACTGCAGGAATGTTTCTTACGCCACTGGTGTTTACTTAATAGAGGTTATTAGAAAACAAAAATCGCAAAAATGTTCATGTTTTCAAAAATGTTTTTTATTGATTTTTTAATGATAAGGGTTATCATAAAATAATAGAATTTTGCAAAATCAGTGTTATCATTTTTCAGAAGAAGTGGATTTGTTCGATTGTATGTATTGTATTATGCCTGGTTTTTATTTTGGAATACTTTTTGGTAACCTCTTAATCAGAGAATGATAATATTGTAAGTTTTAACGTCTTCTGACGCTTTGTGGATGGAGATTACAACCAAATTAATGTAACGTAAAAACTTTCAAACAGTTCTATAGTTTTTCAAAAGTTGGTTCTAATAATAACTTTCCAAAATTTGAAGTCCAAATATTTGTATCTTCATTTTTAAACGAAATCCTTGTAGAAAAGTCCATTATATTCCCGAATGTCCTAAAACTCCAAAAAGAATTTTTTGTTGTATTGTATTCCGGTTCACAGGTTAATACACGTTCTTGGTCGAGTATTTTCGAATTTTTTCAGAACTTTGTGTCAAGTTTTTTTGACTTTTAACATTTTAAGTCACCTCTGATTGTTCATAATTCTACACGATTTACAAAGCTTCCCTCATCTTCCTCTTTTAGGATATTGAACGAGCCTTTGCAAACAACTATCCAGAAAGATTAAAACCCAAACTCATCGAAAGACGCAAAAACGCAGAAAAACTGTTAGCGTCATCAAAACCTCCGCAACCCTACCACGAAGACACCCCAGAATTTGCCGAATTTGAAAAACATCCAAAGATACAATGTGCCAAAAACTGCGTCGAGATCAAAAGAAACGACGAATTTGGCAGACACGTTGTAGCGACTAGAGACATCACAATTGGGGAAATCCTGTGTGTCGAAAATCCATACGCTATCATTTTAACCGACGATCCTCTTATACACTGCGCCATGTGTCTGGAGTTGTGCTACAACACCATACCTTGCGACAACTGCCTCTTCCTCCTTTTTTGCTCCGAAGAGTGCAAAAATAAAGCCAATAGCACATTCCACAAATACGAATGCCCAATTTTAGCAAGTCTTGTCGACTGCGGAATTCGAGATACTGAACTGGTTGCTTTAAGGGTAGCAATTTCGGCAAGAGGAGATTACGAGAGCTTGAGTTCTCCCAACCCGAACGTGGATGAAGAAGAAGTGTATTGTTCAAACAGATACAAAGAAATACATAACTTAATGCCAGCTACAGACAAACAAGACGTTAATGATTTATTCGAACAGGCTGTGACAGCTGCTTTAATGTACCACTTTTTGCGCGGCCTTACTGATTTTTTTAATAATGACGACATGAAGCGAGTCTTCAAAGAGGTCGTTCTTCTACAAATACAGATTGTGGATTTAAATCAAAGAGGACTTGATGAAAAGAGAAAATTGTGTGATTCCGAGACAGAAAATTTTGCGATCGGTATATATGCTTTTACTAGTCTTTTCAACCATTCTTGCTGCCCTAACGTCGAACAGACAATGTATGGGTCTGCAATGGTTCTAAGAAGTGTGAACACCATCAAAAAGGACCAGCAATGCTTTATATCATATGGGTAAGTTTTTTGTTAATTAATGTTGTGTAATTTTTAAGTGCTTGTTTCAGTCTCACCTATGGTCATACACCGAGAGTACTTAGACAGAAGGTCCTTAAAGAATGCTATTTTTTTGACTGTAGGTGTATGGCATGCAGGAAAAATTGGCATCCTTCAGATGATTTAATCCCCTTTAAGTATCCATTGTATATGGATTTAAAGATGACTGCGACTGAAGCGATGATCATGGAGATGGAATTGAATTGCCATGATGTGAGTGCTGCAAAGAAGTACTTACCGCACTTGATCCGACAACTTCAAAGGTGCGAGGATTTTGAGCCTTGGGGTAACGCTTTGAATTTAAAACGATTGATTGTCAAGTGTTACTATATTCTTGGGAACAAGAAAGTTTTTTAAATTCTATTTTATGCTTATGTTACGTTGATTATGATTTAATCATTATTATGATTTAGTCACTTGTAGTATGTCTTAAATTGTATTCGTTTTTGTTAGTTGTAGGTGTTCCATGTTATACTCATATTTCATATTTTTATGTTATTTTTATTTTTGTGATTTTTGTCGTTTCGTTCCATTATTTTGTTATTATTGTTCATAAAGTTTTTGCTTTTAGTGTGTGAACTTATTTGAATATTGTTCGTACGTGGTTTTGAATTTTGACAGGTTATGACAGTCGTAAATTGGAAGAACAGAAAGCTACAACGTTGAGGGTTTAGTAACAATGCACTTTTATACCAGTGGTTTATGTATCCGCTACCATTTTACCGTAAACGTCTATGTTTTTGAAAAAATGATAATTTTATAACAATTTTACAATTTAATTTGCGGTAGTGTGAAGTGCTGCCAACTTGAAAGAAAATCTCCTGAAGCAGGGGTTCAAATCAAATTTTAAATGAGATAAAGACAAATTTACCATTTTAAATAAACATTTTAAGTTTCACGTTGTGAAAATAAGTCTACACATATTAAAACAAAAAGGCAAAATGTAAGCCCGCCCACCCGCCCTATCTCAATTGTGATGATTTTTTTTATTCGTCGTGAATCAAGAGGGCAGAGCTTAGCTGCAAAATACTTATTTCTTTGCAAGAAATTAAAAACATGTTTTTGAATGTCGTGTTGTTCAAAGAATATTATGTATACTAAGAAAAAAGCCAATATAAAAACCCCGCCCACCCACCCCATCTCAATTGTGATGATTTTTTTATTCTTAGAAACTTAAAACAGGTTTAAAATGAAAACTGTAAATTTTTGTAAGGAAATATGGGCGTTGCCGTTAGGTTCCGCCCGTAGGTCTACCAACGAATGAAAACTTCATTGCTGATTAGATCAGGGCATGTATGGTGGGGCTTAATTTTTGGCTTTAATTTTTTCGTAATATACACATAGTATTTTTTGAATAACACGATACTCAAAAACATGTTTTTATTTTCTGGTAGAGAAATAAAGATTTTGCAGTTAAGCTTAACTCCGCCCCCCTGGCTTACGACGACTAAAAAAAAACATAATTGAGCGGGTGGGCGGGCTTACATTCTGCCGTTTTGTTTCAATATGTGTAGACTTATTTCGACAACAAGAAACTTAAAACATGTCAAAAAAGGTAAATTTGTATAGGAAAATATCGATTTTGCAATTAAGCTCCACCCCTCGGTCTGACAACGAATGAAGAATTCATCACGATTGAGATCTAGACGGATGGGTTTTCTTTTTTAATTAATAAATTTAGTTTTCTTTGTATGACATGATTATTTAAGAACACATTTTACATGGTAATTTCTCGTAGAAAAATGAAGATTTTACAATTAATCTCCGCCTCTCGCCTTACGACGAATAAAAAAATCAGAATTGAGATAGGGCGAGTGGGCGGGGCTTATATTTTACTCTTTTTCTTAATATACCTTGCCATCTTTTCACAACAGAAACTTAAAACATTGTTAGAATGGTACATTTTTGCAAAGAAAAATGGATTTTGCAATTATGGGGCGGAGCCTAATTGCAAATCGATATTTTCCTACAAATTTTCCATTAAGAATGTTGTGAAAAGAAGTCTACACATATTAAAACAAAAAGGCAAAATGTAAACCCACCCACCCATGTCACAATTGTGATGATTTTTTTTTATTTGCCGCGAACCAAGAAATTAAAACATGTTTTTGAGTATCGTGTTGTTCAAAGAATATTATGTATACTAACAAACAAAGCCGATATAGAAACCCCGCCCACCCACCTCATCTCAATTGTGATGATTTTTTTTTATTCTTAGAAACTTAAAACACGTTTGAAATGAAAATGGTAAATTTTTGTAAGGAAATATGGTTTTACAATAATTACACTCCGCCCCTAAGTCCGCCAACCAATGAAAACTTCATTACTATTTAGAGCAGAGGTATAGGTGAGGCTTAATCTTTGGCTTTAATTTTTTCTTAATATACATTAATCTTTGGCTTTAATTTTTTCTTAATATACATACTATTAATAATACGATACCCCAAAAATATGTCTTACATGGTAATTTCTTGTAGAGAAACAATAAGGATTTTGCAGTTAAATTCATCACAATTGAGGTAGGGCGGGTGGGCGGGCTTATATATAGACAAATACGGATCTTGCAATTAAGCCCCACAACACGATACTCAGAAACATGTTTTTTTAATTTCTCGTAGAGAAATATGGATTTTGCAGTTAACCTCCGCCCTCTTGGCTCACGATTAAAAAAAAATCATCACAATTGAGATCGGGCGGGTGGGCGGGGCTACATTTTGGGTTTTTTCCTAATATGTGTAGATTTATTTCGACAAAAAGAAACTTAAAATATGTCTAAAACGGTAATTTTTGTAGTAATCAACTTAAATCCTCCACTTTTCGTCTACAACCTCTTAAAATACAGCGAAAGTTAAACATCAAAGTTACTATCGACGGCAACTTGGCAACGGAGTTTATAAAAAACACTTCAGCTCTAAAAGCAACGTTAACAGTAAGTTTATAAATCCTACTTAAGTCGCTAATCAGAATGTATCTGTTTATCTCCTTCAAAAACTGGATGACGTCACTCCAAAAAATGTATTTTTTGTATGCGTATTGTTTTGAACTTCTCAAAAAAATTGATGGACGAAGCAATTTATTTTATTGTTTAATCGAACACAACGTACCTTAAGCATGGTCCTTGACAATTAACGTAAGGGGAGAACATAAAAATAAATAAAACTCGCAAATACAATTTTTATTGCGTTTTAGGAGCTATGGGCTTTTGTTTAAATGACTACCATTTTTTTTTATAACTGAAAATTCTGCAGAAGTTCCGATGATTAAAGTCTCTAGTGTTTAAATTTACGTTGTTTCATTACTTATTAGTGAAATCAACTCGTCCAGATGCTGCTCGCAAATTATCATGACGTAATTAAATAATATTTAAACAATAACTAATATCACAATTAAACCTAGAAAAACGAAGTTTTAAAAGCAAATCAATTTATTCAAACATTGTTAGGCTTCAGAATGGACGTTTTCCCGGGCAAAATCTGTAAATTAAATTTGAGAAACTCACCGTGACGTAGTTAGCATTACCGTTTACACTGAATATTTTGAAGAGTGCCATCTTATTTTAGTCACGTTCTATTACTTTAAATTAAATTATAATAAAATCGAGAAAAACAGTTCTTATGATTTATCTTGATTTGATTTTACAAGATCCAGGTGAGTCCGGGATTCTTGTCAAAAGTTCCCAACTAGTTGTCGAACTGTGTCGTTACTACAATAATTGGACGTTCTGTGGTTGGTATTGGTAACATTCACGTTTTCAATGTGGTAAGCTTGCTATTTCCAAGAATTGTAACCGGACATTTCATTATCGTCGGAAAGTTTTGTGTACAAATAGAAAATTGTAAGTAGCTGCAGGGTGAATTTGGTCTGATTGTGAGTGTTTTTGAATATTATTTTGGACGCATGAATAAGAATGACACCTCGGTCTAATATGGCTGGAATCATCCAGTATTACGACCAACAACACTTTCCGATTGTATTAAAAAGATGAGCAGAAGTGTGCCGGGAATTGCTATTTTCGGCGATGTTTTTGTAATACCTCATTCCTCAAGTAGTGTAAATTTGGCGAAGACAAAGTGTTGTTAAATTGTTACATGTTTCGACAAGATTTCAGATAGATTTGGTGCCGTATCATAAAAATATCGTCTATTACCTTTTGTTTGTTGTCATTACTTCTTTAATTGTTGGCGTTGGTGTCAGATTCACCTGTTGTGAGTACTGTCTGCTATCACTAATATACCTAGCGGTTCTATAACGTGATAGTAATTTTGACACCCAGTAACACATTTTTTCAATTTACCTGTGTTGCTCTCACTTTGAACCCGCCATCATCAATTATAGGACATCCACGAAAATAGTGGTTTTATGGTTTTAGCTTTTCCAAACTCTTCGTTTGCAAAGAAAGAGCATCTCAATTAATAGGTACTTCTAAATACATAAGCTGGTTCAGGTTTGGGGTGGTGTGTCATAAATTTGGCGAAGGAGTCAAAGTGGTAAAACAGCTGTTTTCGTGGATCGCTTATATTTTGCTAACGTCAGCTGCTTATTAAATCGAACGGGAAAGATCCTCAGGGAATCCCTTGACTAAGATGTGTTTGATCCACATAAATTATGACATTTCGACTATTTCGTTAAATATTTTAGAAAATTTACCATGTTTACGCGCGTTGTGTCGAATGATGTGGGTTTTCGTGAAGATTTTGGGCTGATGTCATCAATTCTTTGCTGGAAACAACTATCTTCATTATGGTACGAACCGGGAGAGCAACAAAAACACGATCAAAGGTAGTTATGGTTTTTCGAAAGTATGCCTTTGACAGTTGCATTTTCACCCCAAACTTCAAATTGACAGTAATCTGACAAGACGAACATTCTGTCAGAGTCAAATTTTCAAAAATCCATCGCCAATGCTAATCAGGATGTTTTGGTGTCAAAATTTTCTGGGAACTTAGATATGTACATTTTTTCCGAGATAATCCATGAAAATATGTTCATGCATTTGTTGACAATTTCCTATTCAGTGTTGAAAAAGAAATTATATAAACGTTTATTTAACAATTTATAGATTTTAGTTATGTATTCTTTGGGATGGGTAATATGATTTCAGATTTTCTTTTATAACCCATATACGTAAAATAGAGACGAATCAGAGATGTGTAGTTAAAACAAATGAAAAATGTTTAGCAGATGAGGTAATGAAAACGGCAAACATGCATTTTTGTGTTCTACGATTTGATATTGGTCAAGATGTCAATGACAACGCTGCCTTTGTAGCAGAATCATTTATTGTTATTTCCAATTTTATACATTTATTCCTTAATCCTTAACTTGTAATAAGTTTATTTTTACCAGTGTCTTTCAATGTTTTCTTTAAGTTGCACAGTTTGTAGGCTACGAAAAAGTCAGTCTCTCATTTTCGTTTGTGGGCGCGTTTGTATGCTCTGTTTGTCACCAGTTTGTCTGTTACCATTTTAGTAGGTATTGCGGGTACCGAATGATTATTAATTATTGAGTGTTGGTAACCCTGAATTATTGACAGCAATGCTGGTAATGCTGGTATGTCAGTTCATAGTTGTCAATTTGAGAATCAGGTATGCCGTTATTAAACTTTAAATATGTCGCCAACTTGACAAAAAAATTTCAAATGTTAATAGTCATTAGGTATCTTCAGTCTTGATCTCTGTTTATTGTTTTTGATTTTACACAACTGTCGCAATCAATCGGAGTTAAAAAATATGTACAGGGTGAATCAATAAGCTCGCGATCGTCGATATCCCATTAAATTAGAGGTGGATAAAATTCTGGAACTAAAATTTTGCGGCTGTTGGAGCAGCCTGTATTAAAATTACGTGAATTATACAGAGTGTTTTGTTTTGGAGGCATAGCACACAACTTAATTTTTTTTTAATACCCTATATATTTTGGCTTCTTTCTAGGCTTTCTAACCATAGTTTATTTTTTAGTTGTGTTGTGATATTTTATGAAGAAATAATCATTGATACGCGCATTGTTATGATATCGATTAAATAAAATTTTAATATACAGTGTTTATAAAGTTTACAATTTTTAAATATCGATATTTCATGTTTTCAGATAGAACACCTTGTATTTAATTTGTGCATCTTACTCCATTTTTGTTCTCTTTCGTTCAATATGTCGGCGTGTCCCTGTAAAAAGTAAAAAATCTCAGTGACTATCAACATTAAATTAAGAAAAAATAGAGGGTGTTCTAGTTGAAAAAATTGAAATCTTGATATTTGAGAATTGTCATAATTTGAAATTTTTTATAAACATTATACAGATTAAAACTCAATTTGATTTATAATGAGTAGCTTTATTCATCTTTCTACAAAATATTGTTACCCAGATTTTAAAGCTATTGCTCTTTTTTTTGTAATGATTTCCATTGCTAAGGGAATAACTTGACAACATCGCATTGGAATTTTAAAAATAAACCATAGTTCTAAAACATAAGAAGATGCATTGACTTATACCTGTATCTTTTCATATATCCCAGATTTTTTTGTGTTTTTTTTAATTGCTTGGCCATAGAAAATTCTAGGGAAAAGTCAAAATTAGCCCCGCCCACCCACTCGGTCCCTCACTGTTTTTCTTCTGAAATAAAAAATTAATCTTATAGCAAATATGTAGTACAACAAAACAAGTTACGTTTAGAACTTTTTTTTTTACTTTTTTTACAGACTAGGTTCTAATTAATTACCAATTCCACTCTACAGAAGAAAAAATAATTAACCCCGCCCACCCACCCGCTTCTATTTTAGTAATTAATTTTATCTGCTCTGAATGAAAGGTGAAACTTATACTGAACCGGCATAAAACTTATCGTTAGAATGAGAAGAGGGCGGGTGGGTGGGGTTAGTACTTGCTAAGATTCTACTGATTTTGGCAGATCTTTTATTGACAAATGACGTACTCTCTAAAAAAATAGTTGTGTTCCACTTGAAAAAAAAACCTTATAGACAGGGCTGGGATATAGTTCTCGATGTACTGATTCGAAAAAATAATGTGTTACTGGTTCTGGACTAAAACTTTAGAAATATTTGGTTTTGTATTCAGTTTTTTTTTTTCAAAAATCTTAATTACTCCTAATTCATTCGGAGTTTTTGAACAAATTGTAGAAGTTTTTGAAGAAATCAGGTCTAAACTAACTTCTCGAGATTGAAATAAAAAAAAAAACTTTTTAGGTAATTTTTGGATATGGTCCAAAAAAAGTCAAATTTTCATATATCTCAGATTGTTTTGTGATTTTTTTTTTATTGCTTGCTCATAGAAGACTAGGAAAAAGTCAAAATTAGCCCCGCCCACCCACCCGGTCTCTCTTTGTTTTTCTTCGGAAATAAGAAATTTATCTTATAGCTAATATATGTAGTACAGCAAAACAAGTTACGATTAGAACTTTTTTTTTACTTTATTACAGCCTAGGTTCTATTAATTCCAATTCCACCCTACAGAAAAAAAATAATTAACCCCGCCCACCCACCCGCTTCTATTTTAGTGATTAATTTTATCTGCTCTAAATGAAAGGTGAAACTTATACTGAACCGACATAAAACTTATCGTTAGAATGAGAAGAGGGCGGGTGGGTGGAGTTAGTACTTGCTAAGATTCTACTGATTTTGGCAGATCTTTTATTAAGAAATGACATACTCTCTAAAAAAATAGTGGTGTTCCACTTGAAAAAAAAAACCTTATAGACAGGTCTGGGATATGGTTCTCGATGTACTGATTCGAAAATATTATGTGTTACTGGTTCTGGACTAAAACTTTAGAAATATTTGGTTTTGTATTCAGTTTTTTTTTCAAAAATCTTAATAATTACTCCTAATTCATTCGGAGTTTTTGAACAAATTGTAGAAGTTTTTGAAGAAATGAGGTCTAAACTAACTTCTCGAGATTGAAATAAAAAAAAAAAAAACTTTTTAGGTCATTTTTGGATGTTGTCCAAAAATGTCAAATTTTCATATATCTCAGATTGTTTTGTGATTTTTTTTATTGCATGCTCATAGAAGACTAGGAAAAAGTCAAAATTTGCCGCGCCCACCCACCCGGTCTCTCATTGTTTTTCTTCGGAAATAAGAAATTAATCTTATAGCACAAAAAAAGTTACGAATGAAACTTTTTTTTTACTTTATTACAGCCTAGGTTCTATTAATTCCAATTCCACTCTACAGAAGAAAAAATTATTAATCCTGTCCACCCACCCGCCTCTATTTTAGTGATTAATTTATCTGCTCTAAATGAAAGGTCAAACTTATACTGAACCGGCATAAAACTTATCGTTAGAATGAGAAGAGGGCGGGTGGGTGGGGTTAGTACTTGCTAAGATTCTACTGATTTTGGCAGATCTTTTATTGACAAATGACATACTCTCTAAAAAAATAGTGGTGTTCCATTTGAAAAACACCTTATATACGGGGTTGGGATATAGTTCTCGATGTACTGATTCGAAAAAATTATGTGTTACTGGTTCTGGAGTAAAACTTTAGAAATATTTGGTTTTGTAGTAAATTTTTTTCAATAATTTTAATAATTACTCCTAATTTATTCGAAGTTTTTGAACAAATTGTAGAAGTTTTTGAAGAAATGGGTGAGGTCTAAACTAACTTCTCGAGGTCGAAATAAAAAAAAAAACTCTTTAGGTAATTTTTGGAAGTGGTCCAAAAAAGTAAAATTTTCAGATATCCCAGATTTTTTTGTGATTTTTTATTGCTTGTCCATTGAAGACTTTAGGAAAAAGTCAAAATTAGAATATATATCGTGGTATATATTCCATTTGAAAAAAAATAATCGAAGGCGATTTCTAGCGGCGTAACGAACAATGTAAAATATATTAAAAGCACTTAACTAACGGGATAAAATGTCCTTCAGCACTAAGTGATAGCAATCAGAAGCTCAAGTGTTTATTTATGTTTATACATCGAAAGAATGTCACGTAGAAATTAATTTGATTTGGATGACATAAACATAGATAATACACAATGCGAGAGAAAACACGTCCAGGATGTTCAACGCTAGTGGTAAACTACTATTATACCGTGCTTTATGTTTTTGCAAAAATTTGGACGGTTAGGGAAAAACTCAAACTGGATTCATACACCACACTTATAGGAGTATATTGTTGTATAACAATTAAATCAAATAAAAACAAAATTCTTCCAAATGACGTCATCAAATTGATGATTAACAAAATTTTGGTTAGGATTTAACCATCTATATGATATTTCTAATATACAGGGGCGGCTGGTCAGGGGCGGCAGGGTCGGCCACGCCGTACCAGTCATTTTAAAATACTTAGTAAACGTTGAAATTAGAAAATAAAAAAAGAAATAAAGTTTGAATGTACGTTAGGATAGATCATATATATTAAAAATATATTTTATTATATTGTAGGTACAAAATAAAGCATTTGTTGCTAATTTTAAATGCTGATAAACACGCTTTGCCGGCAAGATTTCGGCACGCCGTATCCAGGAATGCATTATGCTCGATGTTTCGACTTCGTAGCAGCTTACGGTTTCATCGTTCTCTTTATCTAGTACACTGTAGTAGACAAAGACCTGGCGGAACGTATGTTGTGCCAGGTCCGGCGAAATCCTCCTTCGCCGTACCCAGCAACGCGAATTTAGTTTTTAAAACGCTTAATATTTAAGATAGCTAACCAAATTACAAAACAATAACGGCTTCGATGTTCTTCAGTGCATACTATTTTTTTTTAATAATAATTGTCGATTTAATACATTTTCCTGTGTATGAATAATAAACGAAAAAAATTACATTAAATTATCTAAAATTTTATTTTTCGTACATAACTTAGCTACAACATAAATGCGCTTTTTCTGTATTTTTAGCATCTAAGCGTTTTCAGATATTTCAGAAACGAATTTAAAGTTTTAAATCATTTTAATTTTTCAATTATTCAATTAATTTATTTGACAATTTGTCATATACATTAAAAAAAAATAAATGTAAATGAAGATAGTTAACAGTTGGTACTTTTATTATTACTTTTTTTTTATATTTTTTAACTGCATGTCATTATTTAATTATTATTATTTAATTGTGGATGTCCGGGGTCGGCAAGCCGTATAGCCGCCGGTCGACGGGGAACTCAGTAAAAATATGGTTATGTTTTCGGTGGTTCACAAGTAACGATAAAGCAGAACAAGTAGAATTAAGGATTAATAGTATTTGGAATCAAACTGACATTGTCAATTTCCTATAAAAAATTATTTTAACAGGTCGAAACATTTGAGATGTTTTGTACATCCTGGCACGTAAAATGTCAGTGGTTAATGAGTAGCAGCCATACATTACGAAAATATATAACACCAAGGTGTAGACTCAAAATATTTGGCCGACCCGAAATTTTGACCCACCAGCCGCCACTGCTAATATACATTCACAATTTGACAACAATCGGTCGGGTAGTTTCGGAGAGTTGAAACAGAACACCCTGTATAATTGAAAATAATTTTGGATCTTCAAAGAATTGTATAACTTTTGTCCTGATATAATAATGTCTAACCTGTATTCAGTGATCATTTAAGAGTTGAACATTTTTAATTTTTAATTTATTTTTTTAATGTTAATAAAAATATGTATCAAAGGATCAAAAGCAATGGAATGGTGTAAAAGATTCGAGGAATTGTGTCTTCAAAATTAGTGAAAAAATGCTTCAAATTATTTAGGCAACATTTTCTTCGTTCTTGAGACCCAAAGGTCCAGTTTCTCAGATTTTTTATAATAAGCTCTCTATCTTAAAATTAATATAGGGTGGATTCCTGAACCAGGTAAAAGGACGCAGTATAGTGCATATTTTAAGCGAAACATTTGTAATAAATGTTAGTGATGACGTCATCAAATTTTTAAAAGGGATAAACATCATTTTTAGGATATAGGTATATGGACGCAATTTTTGAACATTTGTTTTAATCTCATACTTACTTGTTCGTTTTTCTTTTAAAGTGGAATAATAACGAAATTTTCTCTTTTTTATTGTTGCAGAGAAAATCTCGTAGAACTTCTGGACACCGTGTGAATTCATCATGGATATCCATGTAGAGCTATGGAAAAAGCTTGCCGAACACCCCGATTTCGACCTATCCACTTATTTAAACAAATTCATGTCGCTGTCATCAAACTTGGACCAAATTAATTTCGTTTATGACGAACTAGAAAAACACAGCGCCTTCCCCCAATTTCACAAGGACGGGAAAAACGATATAACCTCAATCGCGGTTAGACACGAGGGAAATAAACTCTACAAGAAAAATTTATTTTCGAACGCGTTCAATTGCTACACAGTAAGTATTCTGGCAGCTAAAACCAAAGAAGTTTTGGCGCTTGCGTACGCCAACAGGTCAGCCGCCCTACTTAAGATGGGTTTATACAAGGAAAGTCTAACAGTAAGTAACACTCATTTGTTCAAAACAAAACAACAATAAAAATTCATAGGACATCGGACGGGCTCTGGTAAACGGTTATGCAAATAAGGCAAAATTGACAGCGCGCCAAGATTATTGTAACATGTTTAAAAAGCCGATTTTACCAGCGTACGAAAAAGTACCGAAAATTCGAAACGTTGAACAGCACCCATTCATCCAAAGCGCCAAAAACTGTGTTGAAATTAGACGAAACGAGCGTTTTGGAAGACACGTTGTAGCGACTAGAGACATCAAAATAGGCGAAGTCGTAGTAGTCGAGCAGCCCTTTGCTTTCAAGTTATTGGATCAGGAATTAGTGTACTGTCACGAATGTCTCGAACTTTGCTACTGCAACATCCCTTGTGACCACTGCACCAGGTCCTTGTATTGCAGTACCACTTGCAAAGACAAAGCTTTCTCCGACTACCACAAGTACGAATGCCCTTTGTTGCAGTCCATTAAGGGAATTCCAGGCAGCAACGAGTCCGTCTTGTTGCCTTTAAAACTAATTTTCCAAAATGGCCAAAAATTTTTCACCGAAGTTGCCCCCCATCCAGGCGTTTATCGTTCCGACCGTTTGCGCGAAATCCGCGATCTTCAAACACATTTGGACACCACGGACCCTTTCACTGTGTTTGAAAAATGCGCCTTAGTTGCAGGGATTGTTCACTTGGTTAAGAACCACTCCAGTTTTCTGGAAAGTGCCTTCAGTGAGGAGCACCTCAAGGAAAATCTTTTCAAGGTGATGCTGATATGCGAGCTTAACAGTGTTGAGATCACCGAGTTCACCCCAAAGGACAATACAGATATTTTTGAAAAACAGCAAATTGGAGCCGGACTTTACTCTTTTTGCAGCCTTTTCAATCATTCTTGTTGCAACAACGTTGCCAAGAATTTCCACGGAAACACGATTGTTCTTAGGGCAGTCAATTCTATCAAAAAGGGGGAGCAGTGTTTTGTTAATTATAGGTAAGTTGAGTGAAACAATGCGCATGCGTTACAACACAATAGGGACACAGCGCACAATGCTACAATTGTTGATCCTAGTCAATTTTGAAATCGAAATTGTAATATCAGTAACGTTTTTCTTGTAGTTCCAACTATTTGGTAGACCTGAAGCCGTTTCGCCAAGGCTACTTGACTCAGCACAAATTTTTCACCTGCACGTGTCGAGCCTGCGAAGAGGATTGGCCAATATTTACTCCTATAGATTTTCAAGCTAACATAGCCCTGCACTCTTGTGACTGTTTCAACCTTCTTTTGCCGGTCGTCGTCATCACTGGGGGTGCAAATGTTGCATATGTCAAGGAGAAACTAAAGCTGTTTATTTCTGAAATGCAGAAGAAGGAAAAAAAATTACCTCCTTCAAGAAACTATTCTTTGACCAAGTATGCTTTGTTGCAGTGTTATAATGTTTTAGGCAACAAGAGAAGAGTTTGAATGGATTCCCCATTATTATTTTTTTTAAGTTACTTTGACTTAGTAGCTACTTTTTGATATTGCTATTACTTACTATATAACTATTGTTACATTCACTGTGTTCTGTGTTTAAAACTTTTTTCATAATACATTTTTTGATTAATATTAATGAGTATTTGTTTTTCTATTGCAATTATTTCGGTAAAAACGTCTCCGGCTGTAGGCGCAACAAATCGTTAGTAAATTTCGACTTATTTTGTGAAAAGGAGACGATTGAGTATATTTTCCACATTCTGGCGTGTGTTGATTCAAGAAATTCGTTAAAAAACTTCAGAAATGTTACTTTTCAAGCTTTTTCGTGTTTTCTAGCGTTTCTGGCACAGTACGCGTCCGAAAATACCAAGGAAACCATGAAATTTTAGCTAGAAGTCTTATTTTTGTCGAATTTTCGAAAAGGGGACGATTGGGTATATTTTCCACATCCTGGCGTTTGTAGATTCAAGAACTTACCTCGGTCCTAAAGTACAGCCAGACAGATCCCATTTTTTTGAAAACATAACATTTTTTGCGATTTTGTTATTTGATAAACCGCCATAAAGTGGAAATTGATGGCGTAAGAAACACACCTCCTTTGACTTGAATTTTTTAGTTGTTTGATTTTTTTTTGTTTCTTCAGTTTTTCGATTGCAATTTTTTAGTTTGAGTTCTCGAATGTTCAATTTTTAATGTTTCAATTTTTCGTTTCGGTTTTTTATTTATTTTTTTTTTCAGTTATTCAATTTTTTAATGTTTTTATAAATTTTAATTTTTTCAATTTTTCTTTTCCTCATTTTCGTTCATTTTTCTGGGTTTTTCAATTTTTGGATATGCAACTCTTGGAGTATTCATTTTTAAATGTTTCCGTTTATTGATTTTCTAACTTTTGGATGTTTCAATTTTTATATTTGCAGTTTCACGGGTTATTAATTAATTTTTCAAGTTTTTGATTTTTCAATTTTTCGATTTGCAATTTATTTATTGCGGTTTTGTTTTCTGTATTTTTCAATTTTTCGGTTTTTCAGTGTTCTAATTTTATATATTTTTTTTATGTGAAATTTTTCGTTTGTTTTGTTTTTCTTTTTTTTCAACTTTTTGTTTCTTCAATTTTTCAATTTGCAGTTATTCTAGCTTTCATTTTAAATATGTAATAAATTCTAATAAACGTTTTAAAATTTTTGCACTTTTTCAGTTTTTCGATTTTTAATTTTTCAGTTTTCGTTTCTTCAGTTTTATTTCTTCAAATTTTCGATTTACAATTTTTCTGTTTTCAATTTTTCAACTTTTAGATTTTGTAATTTTTCTATGTACTTTTCAGTTTAAACATGTACTTAATAATATTTGTAATTTTTAAATTTTTTAGATTTTTCCATTTTTCAATAATTGCATTTTAAAACTTCTTCATTTATTTGCTTTTTCAATTTTTCGATCTGCTATGTTACAGTTTTTCCACTTAACAACTATAATTTTTCGAATTCACAATTTTTGGGTTTTCAAATTTCGATAAAAGTTATTCGAATTTTTCGATTCATTAATCGTTTTCGATTTTTAGTTTTTCACTATTTCAATTTTTCGTTTCTTGAATTCTTCGATTTTCCACTTTTTCGATTTTGCAATTTTTCGTTTTTTTCAATTTTTGGATTTTTTAACTTTTCAAATAAACAAAATGGAAACATTGCAAAATCGAAAAATCAAACTGAAACGATGAAAAACTATAAAATCAAAACTTTGAAAAATCTAAAAATTGAAAAATCGAGAGATTCAAGATTGAGAAACTCTACAATCGAAAAGGTGAAAAACGAAATATGTATATTGTAGAATCGAAATATTTTTTGGAAATTAAAGAAATCCAAAAATTGGGTAAAAATTCAAAAATTCGAAAATCGGGGAATTGAAAAACCAAAGATTGAAAATTTCTAAAAATTGAATAAACGAAAATTATAAAATTAATCGAAAGAAACATTGGAAAAATAAATTAAATGAAAAAACGTAAAATTGTAATACAAAACCGGGAAAATCAAAAATTACAAAACACTCCAACCGCAGCTTTTCTCAATTGTTCAATTTTTCATAATTTTTTTTGTTTCTTCACCTTTTCGATTTACAATTTTTCGAGTTTTTATGTCTAAATTTTTCAGTTTTCTAATTTTTGAATGTTTCAATTTTTGATTTCCAATTTTTGGGTTTGAGTTTCTCGAATTTTCGATTTTTAATGGTTCAGTTTTTCGTTTCGGTTTTGATTTATTCAGTTTTTTTATTTTCCAATTTTTGGATGTTTCAATTTTTATATTTAGAGCTTGACGAATTATTAATTTTTCATTTTTTAATGTGTCGATTTTTCAATTTTTCATTTTTTCAATTTTCGATTTGCAGTTTTTTGTTTGGGTTTTTTATTTTCTTTCAACTTTTAGACTTTTTAATTTCTCGTTTTTTTAATTTTTGATTTGCCATTTTTCTAGTTTTCTTTCTAAATATGTAGGAAATATAATCGTTTTAAAATTTTTAATTTTTCATTTATTGGATTTTAAAACTTTTTCATCTATTCGACTTTTCAATTTTTCCCGGTTTACATTTTTAGTTTTTCATTTTTAAATTTTTCAGTTTTTCAATTTTCCAACTTTTGGGTGTTTTAGTTTTTAGATTTTGTAATGTTTCGATTTACAATTTCACGAGTTTTCAATTTTAAAATTTGTCGATTTGCAAATTTTCATTTCGGTTTCGTATTTTCTGTTTTTTCAATTTTTCGGTTTTTCAGTGTTCTGATTTTTTACTTTTGCTCTTTTTAAATGTAATATTTTTCAGTTGTTGTATTTCAAAATTTTTGAATTTTTCAATTTTTCGGTTTTCAATTTTTCGATTTTTCTACTTTTAGATTTTGTTTATTTTTCTTTTTTCAATTTTAGATTTTTCGATTCCTGGGTTTTTCGTTTTTCCAATTTTTCATTTGCAGGTTTTGTAGTTTTCAATTTAAACATGTAATAATTATAATTTTTGAAACTTTTTCAGTGTTTCCGTTTTTTGTTTCTTCAATTTTTCGACTTGCAATTTTTCGATTTTGCAGTTTTTCGTTTTTTCAACTTTTCGAATAAAGAAAATGGAAAATTACAAAATTGTAAAATCAAAAAAGAAGCAATGGAAAACTGTCCAATGAAAAAAATTTTGAAAAACCTAAAAATTGGAAATCAAGATCTTGAAAAATTTAAGAAACAAAAAAGGTGAAAAACGAAATATGTATATTGTAAAATCGAAATATTTATTGAAGATTAAAGAAATCAGAAAATTGAGTAAAAATCCAAAAATTGGAAAACCGGGAATTGAAAAATCAAAGATTGAAAATTTCAAAAAACTGAATAAACGAAACTTATAAATTTTAATCTAAAGAAAGATTGAAAAAGTAAAGGAAATGAAAAAACGTAAAGTTGTGATATAAAATCGGGAAAATCAAAAATTACGAAACACTCCCGCAGGTTTTTTCAATTACATATTCAATTTTTTTTTTGTGTCTTCACCTTTTCGATTTACAATTTTTCGAGCTTTTATGTCTACATTTTTCAGTTTTCCAATTTTTGGATGTTTCAACTTTTGTTTTCCAATTTTTCGGTTTGAGTTTCTCGAATTTTCGATTTTTAATGGTTCAGTTTTTCGTTTCGGTTTTTATTTTTTCAGTTTTTTGATTTTCCAACTTTTGGATGTTTCAATTTTCATATTTTGAGCTTGACGAATTATTAATTTTTAATTTTTCAAAGTTTCAATTTTTCATGTTTTCAATTTTCGATTTGCAGTTTTTCGTTTCGATTTTTTATTTTCTTTATTTTTTGATTTTTCAACTTTTAGATTTTTTAATTCTTCGTTTTTTTAATTTTTGATTTGCAATTTTTCTAGTTTTCATTTTAAATATGTAGTAATAATGGTTTTAAAATTTTTGCACTTTCTTTACGATTTTAGAATTTTTCAGTTTTTCAGTTACTGAATTTTAAAATTTTTTTCATTTTTCGACTTTTCAATTTTTCGATTCTTCAGTTTTTGATCAGCAAATTTTTCTAGTTTTCATTTTAAATTTATATGTAAGAAATATCATTTTTAAAATTTCACATTTTTCATTTATTGGATTTTAAAACTTTTTCATTTATTCGACTTTTCAATTTTTCTCGATTTACATTTTTAGTTTTTCAATTTTTTGTTTGTTCAATTTTACGACATGCAACATATGGAGTTTTCATTTTTAAATTTTTCAGTTTTTCCATTTTCCAACTTTTGGGTCTTTTAATTTTTAGATTTTTTTCGGTTTTTTATTTTTCTTTATGTTTCAATTTTTCGATTTTTCTACTTTTAGATTTTTTTATTTTTCTTTTTTCAATTTCAGATTTTTCAGTTCCTCGGTTCGTCTTTCCAATTTTTCCTTTGCAATTTTTGTAGTTTTCAATTTAAACATGTAATAATTATAATTTAAAAAATTTTTCAATTTTAGGGATTCGGAATTTTTCTATTTTTCTATTTTTCAGTTATTGGATTTCAAAACTTTTTCATTTATTCGATTTTTCAATTTTTCGATCTTTCAATGTTACAATTTTTCAGCTTCACAATTTTGACGATTTTCTGATTTTCCGATTTTACAATTTTTAGATTTTCCAATCATTCGATTCATTTTTTCATATTTCCAGTTTTTCGAGATTCATTAAGTTTCTAGATTTTTAGTTTTTCAGTGTTTCAATTTTTTGTTTCTTCAATTTTTGGATTTGCAATTATCCGATTTTCCACTTTTTCGTTTTTTCAACTTTTCGAATAAAGAAAATGGAAACATTGCAAAGTTGAAAAATCAAAAAAGAAGCAACGAAAAATTATAAAATGAAAACTTTGAAAAACCAAAAAATTGAAAATTCGAGAGATTCCAAATTGAAAAATTCAAAAATTGAAAAAGTACGAAATCGAATAAATGAAGTATGTACATTGTGAAATCGAAATGTTGACAATTGAAGAAATCGAATAAATG